TCTTGTGGAGGCTCCTCTCCTCATAGGGCCTGCCCTGCTGCCCCCTGATCATGCGAGTGGCCTCCTCTGGACCCTCTCCATGTTGTCCACATCTCTCCTGAAGTGCGACACCCAGAACTGGACACAGTACTCCGAACTGCGGCCTGACCAGTGCCGCATAGAGGGGGGTATCACCTCCTTGGACCTGCTCGAAATGCATCTGTGCATGCATGACAAGGTGCGGTTGGCCTTCCTGACCGCGTCCCCACACTGCCGACCCATGTTCATCTTGGCATCAATGATGACTCCAAGATCCTTTTCTGCTTCTGCACTGACGAGAAGAGAGTTCCCCAGCCTGTAGGGATGCTGCTGGTTCTTCCTCCCCAGGTGCAGCACCCTGCACTTGTCGGTGGTGAATCCCATCCTGTTCTCATCCGCCCACCCCTGTAACCTGTCTAGGTCCGACTGCAGCCTATTCCTCCCTTCTAGCGTGCCCACTTCCCCCCACATCTTAGTGTCATCTGCGAATTTGAACAAGGTGCTTTTTACCCCCTCGTCCAAATCGCTAATGAAGATGTTGAACAGTGTGGGTCCGATTGCACATACTGATTTAGTGCCCTACAAAACACCATTAGGATTATTACTCTTGCTACTATAAACAGACTGATCTGGAATCCTCTTACCAGGGAGCAACCTCCCTGAATTAGCAGGGTTTTGCTGAGAAGCCTCAGTCTACTGGGCCTTTGTTCCCAAAGGAGGCTTCTGGGTGGTACTGTTATACAAAATGTCTCATGGGTTCCTTAGTACAGTAAAAGCCCTGTTATCCAGCATTTTACTAACCGGCCAGAAACCCCTGTGCCTCAGGTAACCAGCATTCTTAGATTACCAGCACCCCCTGCCATTCCTCACTCATGCCGGAAAACAGGGCTTTTAGTGTATGCAGCTTTTTTCTCCTCAATCCCCCTCTGAAATTGGAGAGTACTAATTTATCCTCATTTTACAAACAGGAAACTGAGACATACAAAAAATTAAGAATATGTTTGCACAAATGAACAAAAAAACCAACAACCTTGAGGTAATCCTCTACTAGCCTAAGTCATGGGAGTTGCCCATTCCTTGTCTACACTGTCCCCTGTAACCAGCATTCATGAAACCATCCAATACTGCACTTCTTATTTCTCAAGCATATCCTATGGAAAGAGTAGATTAGGGGGCAATGGCAGTGGAGATTCATAACTGGAAGCTCAGCAAAGCTTCAAGGCTCATGGTGAATGCTGCCAGGGGTGAGGTACAGGAATGTATAAGCCTGGACAACTAGGCAGACACGGGGTTGAGGACAACCTGCTCACTGCAGACCTACTCAAAGGAACCTGCTTGTGGTCACACAGTTTGACAGAGTGGGTTCAATGCCCCGATGATGAAATCACCCATCCATCCTTCAAAAAAACTAAAATATGACCTATAAGGAAAACAAAGCTACCTGCTAAATAAGGTCACTTTTTCCATAATCTGAACAAGTATTAGACATTAGAGCTGTGCAAAGCTTTGGTTCCCGATTCGATTCGACAGAGATTTGGCCTGATCCGTTGGCCGAATCTTTGAATCCGAATCGAATCAGGAGACCCTTTAATCTCTCCGAATCGAATCTGAACTCTCCAAATTGACTCGGACAGATTTGGAAAGATTTGGACAGAGACAGCTTTAAATATTTTTTCTACATACCTCTAGGTAGCAGGCGGCTCGTGAATGCTGTGATGCTGGGGAGCATGGAGTGTCCCACAGGAGAGTGGAGGGTGCTCCCTAGTGCGCTTGGCAGTGGACCAGAAGCACTTCCAGTCCACTTCTGGGTTCACTGGAGAGCACATGGGGGACCCCTCCACAATCCTTCTGGCTTGGTGACTGGTACCTCCTGGGTTGGAGGGGGCACCCAGGGTCCCCCCATGGCTGATTGCCAAGTTGGGGCAATACAGGGGGGGCCCCTGCAGACCCAGAAGCAGACCAGAAGTGCTTCTGGTCCACTTCCAAGTCTGCTGCCGAGCATGTGTGGGGTCCCCCCTCCCACTCCTGTTGGGACACTATATCCGCCCCAGCATCGCTGTGATCACAAGCCATGCTGGTACCTCAAGGTATGTAGAAAAAAAAATGTTTAAAGCTGTGTCTATGTCCAAATCACTGATTCTATGAATCAGCATTGAATCTTCAGATACAGTTTTGGCCAAATCGAATCAGGGACAGTGATCCAAATCAACGAATCAAATCACTGTCCCTGATTGAGTCTGAATCCATACCTGAATCGAATACGGCCTGCTTCACACACCCCTATTAGACATCTGGAAACAAAATGTCAAGAGTGGATAATGAAAATAGAGAGTCAAGCTGCTTGTGCCTACAACTACAGGCACAATATGAGCATCTTACCCCGAGGCAGTGAACAGGGGCAAGCAATGACCTTTTTAGGCAAATGTCTCTGGGTTTCAAAAAGGATGCTTTTTGGGAAAGTGATTATGTTAAAGGCTGGGTGTTCAGAGAACAGTGACAATCTATTGCAGATCAAGCCACTCATTTCCTTTCCCCTAGTGATAACATATAAGCGCTTCCTAAACATACAAGTGTCCCAGCTTGGTTCTCAGAGTTATTCAGTGATAATAAACTAATAATAAACTTAATAGCCTACGAAGGTCCCTTTCAGCCCTACTTTTCTACGATTCTACACTCAGAGCCAGTATTAGGAATTCATGATGGTAAACCATCTAAACATCCAAAATACAAAAGCAGCCAAGACAGAGGTGAAGAGGCAGGGGGAAGTGAGGTGAGGTTGGGGCAAGAGGAAGAACTGTGAAAAAAACAGTTTGTGACAATGAATCCAAGGTTACAGCTGCAGAAACAACTTTGCCAAAGGGTAAAAGGGACCAGGGCTTTACCCTGAATCAGCTGCTCTGCATAAACTGCTTGGATGCACATGGCAGTTAATTTACTGTCACTTGGCTCTGTGGATGAGCCTCCCCTTACTGCAGGGCAGGGAACCTGCACATGACTGCTGAAGAGCAGGTGACAAGCAGTAAAGCCCCTCTTCCATTGTCCTGTGGGATGCTGTTTGTATGTCCATATCCTAAGCCAGAATTCCTGAGACCTGGCATGTGGAAGAGAGCACTGTGCAAGCTGGTTCCTCGCAATCCTAAACTACAACCACTGTTGAAAGCCTGCTTCAACACAAAGAGCATCTACTTGTATTAAGAAGTGCTTTGAAATTATGTCCAATATGGCTAGACCCAAGTGGAAATCAAATTAGTTTGCAATGTGAGCAGAACTGCAATCCAGATCCTATAAGAGAAGGCAAACAAATGAGCACTGTACTTCTGGATCCCCTCCCAGCTCTTAAGTTCCCTTCTTACCAATTGTAGTCAAACCAGGATGCATAGCTTGGAATAATGATGTGATTTGTCTGCTCGGTGACGTTGTCTTCACCGGGATCAATCGATCGGCTCTGATCACCTTTATTAGGATCTTCATCTTCCTGCATCACAGGAAAGAGAAACAGTAAAAATATATCAATTAAAAGTGGGAAGCAAGCAAGTAAAGTGATACTGAACTACCACATGGCTATGTTAGTCTAAAACAATGGTTTTGCTATTATCAGAAGAATAACTTAACTGATTGGTTCCTTGATCAACTGGAAAAGCCTTGATGAACAAGCTGATCTAAATTCACAGCAGCACTTTCCATAGTGTTCATGTTCCCTTAGTTTTCAGAGGATCAGTTCTCCCTTGACCTGACAATCTAGGAAGCATAATCTAACATCACTAGAAGGTAGGCTTTGCAGCTGATATTTAGGGTACCATCCTCACATGTGTAGTGAACACACAGGTTGGTTGGGGGAAAACATTCACAGAAAAAGAAGAACGAGAGACTGAGGCTACACAGTAAACCTGCTGTGCTGTCAGTGGCACCTGAAGGCAGGTAGCAGGGTCAGCATGCATGAAGGCACTCGTGCCTGGCACAGTGAGTTTACTCTCCAGTTCTGGCTGAACTGCTCATGCATTCGACTAAACACTGATGGAGACACAATGTGTCTGAACAGCAACAAGTGAGCAAGCCACAACTGCACTGTTGTGTTCCCTGCCAACAAGCCTTTTACCTTAACAAGGAGATAAGATGGGCTGGGTCTGTCCCATGCCCTCCTTAAACTTCAAAATGGTCAGACAACCCTCCAACAGCCCAGGAAGCTCTGCCAAGTCCCCATAACTCCACTGCCTTAATCAACACAGTGGGACTCTGAAAAAGCAGGTTATTTGTGGAAAGAGCTGCTAAGGGCACTTTAATATATCCAAAAAGAGAGAACATCTCTCAAGCACAGGCAGATGGGTCCAGGATGGCTGGAACTGAAAGAGAATGGCAGTAGGAGGTAGTGGGCTGTCCTGAGACCAGGAAAAGAGACTGTTCTGCAAGTGAGCATCCTGCACTCTGATGAGGACATCCATCTCCAGACAGGCCATCTAGCCAGCATCCAGAATGTCAAGTGAACAAAGTCAGGTTCCAGTGCAATGTGTGACACTGGTTTGGGGACATGTCAGAGAAAGATGCACTAGCGTGGTCAGTTGAGAGGCTCATCAGCTCAGAGTACCAGAACTGCTGCACCCAAGCTGGAGCTACCATGATACGGCCCAAATCCTGTCTGAACTCTCTGAGGAGTCTGGAGATGGTGGGGAGGAGAGAGAAGGGGCAGAACAACCCCAGGAAGAGAAATGCATCCAAAGAACATGGATTAGCACCTACCCAGAAGCAAAATAATTCACTCTTATTTTAGCACACACTGGGCGCATCTACACGTTCATTAATGTGCCATAATTATGGTGCATTAAGTTTAGTATACCGGTAATAACAGGTACTAACTTAATGCACCATAATGCATGCTACTACGTGTTAGTGCAGATGAACTGGTTTTTTGTGTGATGCTTAGTCTACTGTGCCTTAGCACACTTTTTGCATGAAGGGCTAATGTGAAGTAAAATTAGTCTAATGAGCATTTAGCATCTCATGTAGATACACCCACCAATCCTGTCAGAAATTCAGAGTGCTCTTCTACATATTCCCCCTCTGACTTCCACTGTGATACCCAGGCTGGACACTGGGGGTGAGAAAAAGAGAACTTTTCTATACACTGGAAACAGGATGAGAACTGGAGACCTTGTTTGATGCAGATACAGTTGTAACGAGGGTACTAAGTCAGCACAGTTCACAGGAGGGGCAAGACTGGGAGTAATGGTGCTTGGAAGAATATTACATGTACTTCAAGAGAGGCCCAGATATTGACCTACAAATAACTTAGCCAGTACCCTGAACAGTTTCCATCCCACAGTGTCTCATGCTAAGGGACAAGTTGACACTAGAGGGAATGAAGGGTCCCGGTGCTGAGAACAGCACTAAATGGTACAATGCCAGGGGCAGTGCAGGCATCACGAGATGCACGAACAGCCTGTGCCTGCCTCCTCTTCCATGCTGGGTCATCAGAAAGATGCCTGAAGCAGACCTGGAGGACTGCTCAGAGAGGTTACAAGCTTAGAGATACAGATGACAATCTGTGCTTGGACTCCCAACGGCATTGATTTCTCCCTCATGCTGATGGTGTTAAAGTGCAAGGGGAGCTGAGAAGGGAAACCACTAGGCAAGGCAGCAGAGCTGAAGTTTGCTGATGCCAAGGCAGGGTAAGGCTGATTTTTTTCCAGGTTTCACTTGAGGATAAGGAGAGGCAAAAACCAATGGCTGCACAAGACTTTTCCAATTAAAATAAAACCTACAAGCTTCAGCCACATTTCCATCTTTAAAGACTTGTCTTGGAAAATACTATACTCTATGATGTGGCCTTCTTGCAGACAATAAGGCATCAACAACCCATGTAAAGGCAAACCAAAATGATCGGGGCCTGGAGTCGTTACCAGACCAGGACAGACTAAAAAAAACTAGAACTCTTTGGCTTGGGTGTGGACTATGTGAACAGGGAACTGTTGAATAGGGAATAGATCACTCTAGAGATACCTAGCTCAATGCTCTCTTTCTGTCTATAGCATCCATTTCTGCCACTGTCAGAGACAGAATACGGGGCTAGAAGGACTGCTGGTCTGACTCAGCATGGCACTTCTCACGTTCTTATGCAAACAAGTATACTTGAGTGACTGTTCACAAAAAACAAAAAAAACCCACCAACCAACACAGGCTCTAGGGATGTCCCAGACTCTAGGGAAGAATGTTGCACAGAAGTCCAATTCTTCAGAATATATATTTTTTAATTCTAGCCAGGAATTAGGAGCACTGAACAATGGGGCCCTTCATGTCTGACCTAAACCAAGACGTACAATTGCCATTTGTGCAACACTGGCACTTCACGCTTCCTCACCCAGCCCTTTGCTGCACCACAACATATGGGTCCTGTGGGCTGCCCCACTCTACCCTCAAGGAGTGGGGCAGGAAGCAGAAGCTGGATTGTGGGGGGGAAAGCCTGGTGGGCAGCAGCAGGAGAGAAATGGCACTTGGACAAGAGTCCCTCCTGGGTCACATGCAGCCCACAGACCACCAGTTGGACAGCCCTGATAAGGTGTGGTCCTCTTCTCTCTCAGACTTCCTGGATGAAGGTTTTGGAAGTGGAAACAGTCATCCATAAATCTCCAGGTCTGGACGGAGGGGAAAGAACATGAGCTGCTCCAGGGTTTCATCTTCATTTGGATTTGCAAGTCACTGGATCAAGGTGGAACAATTTGTTCATCAGTTGTGTCAGGGAGCACTTAAGTCTGGCAGGGAAACACAGATGCATTTCCTCTGGCTACAAAAAGCTGTCATACTAGTATACTCTCAACTGCTGACTCTATGCCATGTGCTGGCATACAAGAATCAAGGATACCAAAAGACATATCGTGCTGAGGGACCACTGGGGAAAATACTGGCAGTAATACGCTTAAGAAAAATTGATGGTTATTGGTTGAAAAAAAAGGTGACTGCTGGAGGAAACCACTCTTGTTGTAAAAATATAATAGGATTAAAGAATATGGCAATATGGGTTCCTAAATACAATGTGGAGGGTAGGAATGGCAATTATTCAACATTTTTAAAGCTTTAATTGATTGATTTTTTCCTATATAATCCAAATAAAGAAAGACTGATCACATATGGAGAATGGGTGTTAAACAGATATGTGCCTGAACCAGCTAGAAGCAGAAAAACACTGTCGTCCAGCCGGATTTCACAGGCAAATTAATTCATGGATTAAGACAGAATAGAAACTAAGCCTAACTCTTAGCACCCATGCAATCCTATCTGGGAGAGGCAGTCCTGCCCTTCCCCATCCGGTTCCGACTACTCAATGCTTCCCTGCCTTCATCTCCTAACAGTTCATGGCATCTGTACTCCAGGCTGCATAATGCATTAACACGTGTTAAAGTAATCAAACGCTGGCCTTTAAAAACCAAAACTATTCCTTCCCCCTCCAACACACAGAAGTACATTTGCCCAGGAAAAAAAACTGCTCTGGTAATGGCTTAGTATAAAAAAAAGTATATACTATAAGTGCTGCACAAAACACACTGTTCCTGATCTCCAGGATGTTGCTCACTTAAAGGGTAGACACCCACACTCGCAGAACATGAGGGCACTGCTGCTCTTCTGGCATGCATTTTACCTTGTGTACATACATGGTATCTGTTCATCAGAAGTCTGCTCCAGCTTGGATTACGAGTTTAGTACTGGCATTTAGTTTGGAACTAAATCTGGCTGTTTCAGTTCATGTCTTTCTGCCTAGGTGTTTAATTATCTGATCATTACAGTGATAATCAAGTTCCTAGCAAAGGTGATCACTGAAGAGAGGAGCAAGCTTCAAATGCACTGAGATTTTCTCTTCTCTCCCCATTTCAAATGGGACAACAGGTTTCAGTGCTTCCAACAACCGAGTACACACCTGATCTGATGTAAATAAAATATGCACCTGAAATTCAGTAAAGCTGGAATCACATAAGGACAGAGGTCACAGGTCATATTTCCCAGAGTTAGGTGTGCAACTGCAAACATCCCTTAGCAGCATGCAGAGATCTACATGGAATCTGTGTCTAACAAGCACCTCTTCAAGCGCACACATCAAACTTTGAGAATCTGGCCCTGTGCTTGTATTCAAAGTCAGTGACCAGTCAGTGCTCCTTCAGAGCAGGGATATTTACTGCCAAGATGTAAGTCACCACATTTCTGAATAGGAGTCCTACAGGGCATGCTTGCCCTGTTTTTTAAGGCTGACCCTCATGGTTGCCTTCAGTTACCCAGAGCCACATGAGCTATTCCAAGCCACTGCTTCCCATATATATTACCTTGTGGCAGCTTTGTGCAATGCACAGGAGAGAAGCAGGTTGCAGACTGATTCCTGAAAGGGCACTGCTCAAGAGGGGCTTGTCTCTCTCTCTGTGCTTGGCTCTAATTACAGGAAGGCTGGTACAAGAAACTGTAGTATTGCAGCTGACAGACAGACAGCTTCCTACCTGGGGTGCCCATGTGACTTGTCAACAAACTGTGAGGAAGGCTAGGTTAGGAAGGCACAACCTCTGCTCTGATACCTATGAAAATGTCTAGAGGTGCGCTAATGTGTATTAAGACAGGCAGATTTGGGCTAGAAGGTGGCCCTTAGTAGAAGCGCAGAGAAGCTGCGTCTAAACAACAAAAGGAACAGCCCAGGTTCTGTGCTCCCTCCTGAAACTCTGCTGAGGCTGTCTGCCTCCTCAGATCCCATTTGCTGACCACACATTTTATAAATACATAGTAACCTTTCTATACCGATTCCATTTTCTTTTTCTAGATAAGGAATTATTTCATGTTGACAGAAGAAAGTCCCTCACCAGGAATGGTTTTATTCTTATGCTGGAAACAAATGAGAGCAAATTAAAAGGGGTGGGGACTTACTGCTTTGTCAGCTACTCCAAGGTTAACTGCCCTATGCCTACTCTTATGCTCTCGAAAATGAAAGGTGGACTGTGGTGCCTTAGCTCTTTCACACAGGGGACAGTATTGCAGTTCAGCTTTTGCTTACTAAGGGGGACAGTGAGGGAGGGGAGGTGTGCATGTGGGTAATCACTTTGGAGCAGTGAGTGCACAGCAAGTCTGTGTCTCTAATCAATTTGCTGAAATTATGCTTTCATCCATTCCCTTCAGAACAATTGCTATTTGAATTCTTGAAGGTCAGATGAAGGTTATTCCCTACCCAATTTCTGACAGAACAGTTGTTACCTTTCCTCCTGCAGCCACTGTCTCTTCATCTTGTTCATCTGCAAGGTAAGAGGCACAGCATGAATCACACTGCCAGGAAATGCATCTGGATTACTACGCTTTTCTAATACAATTAATTAACTGGGCAGGATTGTGTTTATTTGGGGCACAGGAGGTGAGAAGGGAGAAAGGAGCATGGACTGTACATCAAAAACTAATCTCATCGTTATGGACATAATGAGTCACACAAAAGAAAGAAGGGGATAGGAACAAAAATACAGGGCAAGGATAATTACAGTCTCTCAACACTTGGGGATTCATAATTAATTACTGGTTAGCCTACTGCCCTGGATGCACCCTTTCATAATAGGCTGTAGGCAGCTTGTTCAGGTCTCTAAAATCTAGTGCCTAGCCAGCCATGTTCCACAATGATTTTCTCTGGTTCCCAGTAGAGAGAAAGAAAGGGTTTGCCTGAGAAAGGCTGACACACTTAAGAGCACACAGGATGCCTGCAAGAAAACAGCCTCAAGGGAGGCAAAAGAATTTTTTTTTTCCTGTTGCTGATTTGAGTGATAGGAGTTAAATACGAAGCTGAGACTCAACAGATGGAAACAAAACAGGCAGAGTAAAAAAAGTGTAGTGCTACAATGATCTTAACTGTAAGCATCTTTTCTGGCACCTTGTAAATATTGGTCTATTACAGAAGTAATGTAAAGTAAGGTTTTTTTTGTTTTTTTTTTTACCTAGGTCTGCTACTGTTCCTCCTTTCACCGGGGTGTTTTCACTGTCTTTCTTTGGGTTCACTATAAAAGGTAAACCAGACTGAGAATCCAGTGTGCCCCCAAGTCAAGATACATTATAAGCCCACCAGTCTCTCCCATAACCCTAGAATATCCCATGGAGTTACCACACTGATACACTGGGTTCCCCAAGTTGTCACTAAAGCATGTAGCTGACAAACAGGGGTAGTGTTTTCAAACTGAAGCCAAGAAAACTATTCCATGGCCCAGTATGTTCCATGCCCCATACCGCAAAAACAAGCGAGTTACTACACTTCAGATTTAAACCATTAAAATAAATCCATTTTAAACAGCCACAGGAAACATGACCGCAAACAGACCAATGGTTTCTCTAGTCCAGTATCATACCAATAACAGTAATGTACAGTTGTCTATTCAGAGAAAAAAACAGGGAAGTGCCTGTAATTCTCTCATCCTTCAGTGTTCACTATTCTTCTGTCTTAAATCACCTATGCCAGCAGTTCTCAACCTTTTGCACCTTATGTCCCACCAACCATTTTGTCGAAAAATTTTGGTCCCACCACGATAAAAACAAAACTCCACTTTTTCCAAGAAGTTTATTTTTATGTTCAGCTTGAAATTTTGAAGGACATTAAAGTCCCACCTACATGACTTTTGCATCCCACTGGTTGAGAAACAGTGACCTATGCTACATAATAGACTATCCAACCACCCATTTTTAGAATCAACCAGATTCACTGCTAGTCTACACTTATATTTAAAACAAGAGAGATTCAGATTTGACTGGAATTTATTAAGAAAAATATTACAATAACAACTTATGGTGGTTAAGGAAAGGAGAACGGTGGCAGGAATTGAAGGAAAAGCCCAGAATTGTGCAAAAGAAAAACTTCCTCTCTAACTGTAGCTTTAGCTTGCTCTGAGATCCTGTTCTGGAAGTAGAACCAGCAGAACGCAGAATAAACTAGAGCGCGCGTGAAGCAGAAGCAGCTTCCTCTGCTTTACACATTTCCCAAAAAGAGTTGTGCCCAGAGCTTCTCAATGCTGAACAGCATAAACAAACTGACATCCCTTAGCATGGCAGTTAGATTCATGACGCTGGATCCTGCACATCTATCAAACCAGAATGACAGTTTGCTTTGCTGGCCATATGCTCACAGTTCATGAGAGGTCAGATCTGCACAGTTTCAAAGGACAAAGGATCTATTTGTCTAGAGGAAGACTCGGCTTCGAAGAACTGCCATGGATTTCATTCTGATACGTGCTCGGGTTAGGCTTTGTTTTGAGCAGGGAGAATTACACAACTACCCCCTCCCTGCAAAATCACCAAGTACTGAATTCTTATCTGCAACTTGCCATAAAATGTCCCAGATGCTTTGCTCCCAAGCATAGTTATCAGAGCATAGACTTCATAGATTTCATAGACATTAGGGCTGGAAGGGACCTTGAAAGATCATCGAGTCCAGCCCCCTGCCCAAGGGGCAGGAAGTCAGCTGGGGTCATAGGATCCCAGCAAGATAAGCATCCAATTTACTCTTGACGGTGTTCAACGTAAGTGCATGAACCACCTCCGGTGGCAGGCTATTCCAGACCTTGGGGGCTCGGACAGTGAAGAAATGCTTCCTTATGTCCAGCCTGGAACATGTACTGAGCTTATTTTGTTCTTCACCCAGTGTTTACTGTATTAAGAAGCACTAGTCTCAGGTGTTACACCAAAAGATTAGGAAACTGAACACACTGGGTTTATCCCTAGCTCATTAACTGAGGCCATGTACAAGCATTACATTCCTATCAGGAGAATCATGCTTGTTGCTTCTCCCTGTAGAAGCAACAAGCATTCATTCAATCCCCCCTGGGGGAGACCTGCCCCACCCAGAAGAAAGATCTTGCAGGTGTCAGCATGCTTCCCTCCTGGTCTGGTCTGGTCTGGTCTGGTCTGGGAGGAGCGGGGAGCAGCAAGGCAGTGTTCCCCACCTCTTCCCCAGGCCAGGGACTGCCCAATTTGGGGAAGACTGGGGCTTGGCCCTGTTGCTGGACTAGTCTGGGAGGGGACTGGAACAGCAGAGCAAAGCCCCCTACACACCCCCCAGACCAGGATCCCCAGTCTGAGGATCGAGGGCTGCATTTGCGAGGCTGCTCCCACCAAGAGAAGGAAGGAGCAGAAGAGCAACTGATCCTTGCTCCCTCTGAAAAATCTATACCATATATAATTTTCCTTAGTTATGTGGGACTTGCAAGGTCTTAGATATTCAATCTACCATGCTCTCGTCTTCACTGGAGTTTCCATAAAACTTATTTCAAAGAAAGAAGGAGTTAAAGGTCAGTTTCATCACTTCCACCTTTCAAAACCCTGTTGAAACAGTAGCAGATGGGCACATAGCCCACAAGAGTGGGCTACTGCAGAAGTAGCTTCTCAAACATAGTGAAAACACTGTATACTGTGTTCAGTAAATGTCTGACTATTCAAAAACCCAGCGTCACTAGTAGCATGCAAACACTATACCATTTTTGGGAAGTACCACTTCTTCTATGTTGGGTACAGGTATTGGGTCTTCCATGTCCTTGGTAAGATCTTCTTGCTCATCCTCTTCTTTTTGACCTCTCCTTTTCCCATACAGACCTGCTTGTCTAAAACAGAATGAACACAAATAAATAGCTGGAAGGGGTACCTACCATGCATTTCAATCCCACCAGCTCTCAGGTTAACAGGGTTGGGTCAGGATGGTATGTTCAAGGTAACAGATGTGGTAAGAGTGGTCTTGATGAT